ATGCTCTCTCTCTCATTCTCTCTCTCAAATAAATAAATAAAATCTTTAAAAAAAAAAAAAAAGAGCAGAGTGTGGGTTGTGGGTACCATCCTGCTAATAGCTTCTCTGTTGCCCCCCCCAGGATTTGCTCTCACAAACACATGCGTCTCCCATAATGCTCTTTTTAAAAAGTATGTATTTCTGATTTTTCTGGATAAATGCTTTTGTACTCTTCTTCCGATTTGGCTAGCTGCTCTTGGCAGGAGCTCCCCCTTGTCTGTGTCTTAGTGTTTCTCAAGCAGATAGTTTGTTGAAAATGCTAAGAGCTTGTATTGACTGCCCCCAAAATAAAGTGCTTTATTGGACAGCGGAGTATTTTCTAGAAAACATGACTATCTACAAAACACTGGAGGACTTCTTGCAGTACTATATGTCGTTGTTAGCTCCAAGGTCTACCAGCGGGGAATCCTTCTACCCAGGTTCTTCAAAGCTTCGCTCAAATTTCAGCATGCTTGCTCCCTCTCAACAGAATTTATGGAATTGGATGTTTGGCAGAGGCCCCCCGAGTCATCTGCTTCCACTCTGTCTTTCATCTCCAGCTTGAGTATTCTCTCCTGGCTATCAAGTGGCCCACCCCAGAACCTGGCACATAGTAGGTCTCAGAGATACGACAATCGCTTTCTTCCTCTCCACACTCTCCTGATTTCCCTCAAAAGCCCTTTCACTCTTTGCCCTGGTTCTGCTGATTTCGACACGTTCCTCTGGAAGTACAGAGATCACTTTCCCTTGTCACAGGGATCACTCCCCACTCCCCCCAACCCCGCGCCAGTCTCGGGGATTCATTTCCTTTCCATGTGCCTTATGATTAGAGCGACTGCATATCTTCTCCTCCAAACCAAGACACTTTTGAAAGTGAGAGGGCCATCTTAGTAATTATGCCTGCCAGAAAAAGAGGCGTGAAACTGGGTTGTCCCAGATCCATCGGGACCTATGGGACACGCTATTTATGATGTTATGTGTGGTTCAGATGTGGCCACATGCTGGCGTAGTTTTGCTTTCTGAGGCTTATCTTTATGGATATCTAATAATCTCATTGTACACTTAGTCCTTTTGAGAGGACAGGGTTTACTTCTGTGACTTACTCAAGCTAACCAGAGATTAATGTAAGCAATGGGAGTTATAAACAGTCTGAATTGTAGCCTAGCTTTTGACCATTTTTCAAATGCTTGTTCCCCATTTCTCTCATTACCAGAAAGCCAAGCCATTTAACTCCATAGGGTACCACTCAGAATATAATTGAGGTTTGAGTAAACAACACATGTGGCTTTTAAGGTTAAAAGAATATTGTTTGACATACAGTACACTAGAGTTGTTTTTCATTTTGGTTTTAAAAATTGGTTAAAATTACATCTTGTTGCTTCTCGGAATTAACTAGAATCCGTCTGTCTCCATTAGAATCAGTGGTTTTTTTGTTTTGTTTTTGTTTTTTGTTTTTTGTTTTTTCAATAAGGCCTTGGCTGAAAAAAGAAGCTCCCTTTCAAGATAATTTGTCCAGCAAATCAGGGGGAAAAAAAAAAAAGATGGTAAATGGACAGACCTATAATCAGCTCTCCAGACAGATTTGGCCCAGGTCACAGCTGAACAAAATGTGAACGCCGAAGAAGATTCTTCCAGTGTAACTATGGTTCAAATTATATAGAGTAACTCCTTACATACAGAACATTCCAGCTTAGCAAATGCCATTTCCATGACGTCAGAAGCTCAAAGGCAACCAAAAGAGTAGTCATTCTTACTTGAGAAGATATATACAGAAGTAATGGCTCCAGGAGTTTATAATTGAAGTGCAATCATTCCAATTGAGGCACACATGCCTGCCTACGAGTGCTTAGGTGTTGTGACACGTTCGTCTGAACTTGGGTTGCAGGACATTAGCCATCTGCTCCCATGCCGTCTCACCTCTCTGCTCACTTAACAGGGACTACCTGCTTTGGGATTCTGCCTGGACTCTTAAGTATTTCAAGACACTGTCTAAAAGCCCGTTCAAGACTCTAGGGTCTAAATGCAATAAATGGAACTTCTCAGAGGGTCATGCTAAGTAAATCTTCCATGTTAGTACCAACCAGTAAATCTATGTTTGCAAAGGGCGTGTTTGGTGAAGAAAGCTCTTCTATCATTTTTCTTTTGTGATTTGTTCTCTTTGGGCTACTTACTCGAAAACACATCCTGTAGCTTTTCCATTGTGTTCTGCCATTTGCTGGTGAATCTCTTCTGGTTTCCAGTCTTCTCTCCGGTCCCCTATTTTCATCTAGCTCACAGCAAAGCTTAGACCCGCCACTGCCAGCGAAAAGGGACCAAGTACATTTAAGTTCATCCCTACTCTTTCACTGTCAAGGGCAGTGCCATTTCCCAGCTGTTCAGATTTGCAAAGCTAGCATCCTTTCCTTTTTAAATTTTTTTAAAGATTTATTTATTTACTTTAGAGAGAGAGAGATAGAGAGAGAGCAGGGGAGAGGGGCAGAAGGAGAGGGAGAGAGAATCCTCAAGCAGACTCCCCTCTGAGCATGGAGCCCAACAAATGCGGGGTTCGATCCCAGGACCCTGAGATCATGACCTGAGCTGAAATCAAGAGTCAGATGTTTAACCAGCTGAGCCACCCATGTGCCCTCCCACCACCACCCCCACCTTAGCCTCCTTTTACACCGTATTCTCTTTTGCCATCCCCCTCTGTTATCAGATCTCCCATCGGGATCTTATCATTGCCTTTTTATCTGAAGTAGTCTGATTTGCCCCTTCTCCATGATTTCAGAGATTCTCAGGGCCTGTCACATGTTACTACAACAGCCTCTTGTTTGGCCTCCCAGATTCCAGGTGCTCCCCAGGTAGGGGACACTCCATCACCAGGAGAAGCTGCCACAAATCACCATCTTTTACTGTAGGAACCTCTACATAAAAATTGGTTGCAAGATAAAATGTGAATTCTTTAGCCTCTTTCTGAAGTCTACACAGCAATTATTTACCACCCTTATTTACGTCAACAACCGGTCTCCCTCCCTCCTTACCTCCCTCTTCACCCACTCCCCCCCCCTTCCTTTCTTTCTCTCCACCATCCCCATTTCTCTTGTTTCACATCTGAACTTTCTACTCCAGCCACACCTTGCTGGCTGTCTCCAGTGTGTTCCTTGCTGTTTCCAAAGCTCTGCTCCTTTGCAAATGCCATTCCCTTCGGTCAGGCTCCCCTCTGCCCACATCACTGTGTGTTTATGCCCTATAGTGTCTACTTCTAAAGACATGACTGATTCTTTTAGGAAGCTTTCCATGATTATATCTTACTGATCACTCACCTAGTCTATATCTCCCAAGCACATCTTTTTTTAAAGATTTTATTTATTTATTTGAGACAGAGAGTGAGAGAACACGAGAGAGGGGAGGGACAGAGGGAGAAGCAGACTCCCCACTGAGCGGGGAACCTGACGTGGGGCTCGATCAGGGGACTCTGGGATCATGACCTGAGCCGAAGGCAGACGCTTAACCGACTGAGCCACCCAGGCGCCCCTCTCCCAAGCACATCTTGACAATGCATTATTTTTTTTTCCATGAGATGATCTTTAAATCATGAAGGGTTAAAACCATAACTTAGTTACATATCACTACCTGATAATACTGCTATCAAAGGAATTTCGGGGTCTTTTGCAAGTCCTAAAACCCAATGATATTACCTAATTTTCCTTCATAGTACTACCACCTCCTTGAACCGGTAACATGTTACTATGTCCAAGCAGATTTTGAAAGCTCGAGGGATAAATTCAAATAGAAAATTCTTTTTTTTTTTAAAGATTTTATTTATTTATTTATTTGACAGAGAGAGAGAAAGGGAGAGAGGGAACACAAGCAGGGGGAGTGGGAGAGGGAGAAGCAGGCTTCCTGCGGAGCAGGGAGCCCGATGCGAGACTCGATCCCAGGACCCTGGGATCGTGACCTGAGCCGAAGGCCGACGCTTAACGACTGAGCCACCCAGGAGCCCCAAATAGAAAATTCTTAACGCTGATACTTTTTGGTATTTCCTGTTATCCTGTGAAATACGTGGTTTCATTGATACAAAGAGTAAGACCAAGCTCTTCCCATCAACTCGCTTGGTCATCGATAACACAAGGTAATAGCCTTGGAAATTGTCCTGTGGTTTGTGCTCTTTATTCAGCTGAGGATTATCACTGTCTGTGCTGTGTTGTTCTGAAGGCTAAAAGTAGGATCTTCCTCCTACTAGCAGTACTCTGACAATGAGGCAGAAACAGAGGAGTACATCTTGAGTATCAGTTATGTAAACATTCCAGCCACCACAAGTTTTACCTTAACTTTCAGACCAGGTCATAACTTCTCAGAGACATAAGGGTGAATTTAACAAATTATGACAGACCTAATCCTCGAAACTCTCATTTTTGAAGGGTAGTTTAAACACAAGTTAAGTATGACCTGTGAAATACTTAACTGTCACAGGAATAAAATAAGCAAAAGTGAGGCTGATGGCTATATCACAGTGGAAAGTTATTATTTTCCCTTTTGTTTCCCAAATTTTGTACAGTGTGAATGGATGGGCTCTTTCAAAAAGTGTCAACTTTCTTCAGAGTTGTTTTTGAAAAATGAGGCAGACCCGGAGAGAAATCTTTCAGGGTCATTTTATGAGGGACAGCCAATTTTTTTTTTTTTTTCCCCCGGGAGGGAGAGAGAGACAGAGAGAGAGACGGGGGGAGGGGCAGGGAGAGAATCTTAAGCAGGCTTCACACACAGCGTGGAGCCTGGTGTGGGGGCTCCATTTCACAACCCTGAGATCATAACCTGAGCCGAAATCAAGAGTCAGACACCCAACCGACTGAGCCACCCAGGTGCCCGGAAGGATAGCCGTCTTAGCAACAGTTAAAAGTCTGGAGAAATTTGGGATCATAGAACCAAAAACGTGGCTAGGTCACAAGGGTAATGGTTTTCCCTTCTATGTATGTATGACTCTTTCTTTATTTTGTAATAAACAGGGGATGGAGAATTGTCGTGGGAACATTCTGATGGTGATATCTTCCGGCAACCTGCCAACAGAGAAGCAGTAAGTGTGAATAGCTCAAATAATTCAACCCTCCACAGCACCAGGCCAGACTTTCCTCTCTCCATGGCTATTATCGCAGCAACTCCATAAAAGGGCCCATTTCTAACACCATTGCTCTTTCCCTTTACTCAGAAAATTAAATGGCATTATCACCAACCTCTAGCCATTTAAGTACACTGTATAATTGGTAACTAGGGCCAGGACATGAACACAAAGAAATCACAGTCCCAGCCCTTAGGTAGCCCCATATAGATCAGAAGTTGTTAGCCTTTCGGGATGGCTTGCCAAATCTTTGCCTTCTGGAAAGAAGACAGGTCACTACCTCTGTCCTCGGTAGTGAGGACCTTCGGTGGGAGTGTAAGGTAGGGTCCGTCCATCCTTTCAGCAGAGGTACTGTGGACAGGTCTCCATAAAGCCTTTCCTAAGCCTTAGGCTCTCAGTCATACAGCTGCAAGAGAGAAAAGGTAGCAGGCTGCATACTCCTTCCCCACCCTGCATTATCTCATTCCCATTCTCAGTGCTAACCTCACAGAAAGCCTCTCTGTGTATAGCAACAGCATCTCTTGCCCCTGTGTATTTCACAGTAACTGACAAAATGCCATCCCTCTCTCACAAACGTATGTGGAAGTACAACCATACCTCAAACGTCTGAAAATCTGAAAAGGAGATGCTCCAGTCCAAGGAATCTATCATACTGAAGGATTTATGAAAATGTACAAGATGTACAAAGGCGTCCACAGTACATACATGGGTATTCATTGGACCCCTGTATAAAAAAGTGTATGGGACATTCAATGCAGCATTATTTTCCTAAGAGCAAAACAAATGGAAGGAACCCGGGGCACCTGGGTGGCTCAGTTGGTTAAGCGACTGCCTTCGGCTCAGGTCATGATCCTGGAGTCCCTGGATCGAGTCCCGCATCGGGCTTTCTGCTCGGCGGGGAGTCTGCTTCTCCCTCTGACCCTCCCCACTCTCATGTGCTCTCTCTCTCATTCTCTCTCTGTCAAATAAATAAATAAAATCTTAAAAAAAAAACAAAACAAATGGAAGGAACCCAAACATAAGCAATAGGGGCTTGGTTGAATACACCCAATCTGTGGGACCTGGTGCTGTTGTTAAAAAGAATGCAGGACATCGAAGGGTACTCGAATGGAGGGATCCCCAAGATACGTTATTTATTTATTTATTTATTTTTTAAAAAGATTATATTTATTTATTTGAGAGAGAGAATGAGACAGAGAGCATGAGAGAGGGGAGGGTCAGAGGGAGAAGCAGACTCCCTGCCGAGCAGGGAGCCTGATGCGGGACTCGATCCCGGGACTCCAGGATCATGACCTGAGCCGAAGGCAGCCGCTTAACCAACTGAGCCACCCAGGCGCCCCAAGATACGTTATTTAAACAAAGCAAGGTGCAGGATGCAACTTCTACTATCATTTCCTTATGTAAAACTGGTGTGTGTGCGCATGAATGTGAATGCATATGGAAAGATCTGGAAGGTCATATACCAACACATTATGAGTGGTAATCTCAGGGGTGGAAGTGGGCAGGGGGAAAGGGAGAGCATGATTTTTTTACTCTGTCTGTTCTGTATCATTGGATGTTTTCCAATGAGCATCAATCCGTTTTGCAGTATATAACATTTGAATGATTTTTTTAAACCTGTGGAATTAGTTCTCAATAAGCACTGTATAGAAGGCCAGAGCCTAGGGAATTATGGGGCAAAACCAAGGATAGGGAAGGTGTGAGGAAGGCATTGGTGGGGACATAATAAAATGGCCAATATAAACCTCCCAGCATTGCTTCTGACTTGCATGCCCCCAGATCACCAACACATCCTCAGCAGCGAGTTGAAGTGATGTCTGTGTGCTTTATTCTCTGGTCCTGTCATTTTCTAGGTGCTGCCATTTCTGAAGGCGTGTGGAACGATGGTGGGTGGGGTGGAGAACAATACTCTGGATATCTCAAAACAAGCAGCACTCCTGCAAGAGAGGATGGGCTTCCCAGTTTGTGGGTTCATATGGACCCCGAGGAGGGGTGAAGTAGGGGATGGGGATTCAGGAGGGCACCTGTTGTGATGAGCGCCAGGTGTTGTAAGGAAGTGTCAATTCACTACATTTGTACACCTGAAACTCATATTGCACTGTAGGTTCACTCACTGGAATTTAAATTAAAAAGTAAAAAAAAAAAAATTAAGAAGAATTTTCACCATCTAGCTCTATCTGCTTTATAGGAAGTGAGATTCCTTCCAGATCCCGACAGATAATGCCAGTCTCCATGTTCTGTGTTGTGAATTTCCTCCTTTTGTCCGCCCTCATTTTTTATGGTGGTAGGACGTTGAGAATGACTAAATTCGCAGCCATCAACCACATGCCCTTCTCACCGAATTTGGGTCTCAGACACCTTCAGTTGGGTATCAACGCTAAGTTTTGTGGCCAGCTCAGCAGTCCTGCTGGTGAGACCATTAATCCGCCATTCTTCTTGACTTCGTTTTTTTTTTTTTTTTTTTTAAAGATTTTATTTATTTATTTGACACACAGAGAGAAAGCACAAGTAGGCAGAGAGGCAGGCAGAGAGAGAGGCAGAAGCAGGCTCTCCACTGAGCAGGGAGCCCGATGCGGGACTCGATCCCGGGACTCCAGGATCATGACCTGAGCCGAAGGCAGTCGCTTAACCAACTGAGCCACCCAGGCGCCCCTTCTTGACTTCGTTTTATGCTGCCTCCAACTCCACCCTTGTCTTTCAGTCTCGTCCTTCTTCCGAAACTGCTGGCAACGGGGCTGAAGTTAATCCCGTACTTTCTGTAGCAAAAGAGGTCAGGTACAGAATGCAGGGCCTTGAAGTAGCTATTGATTTCCAGAGGAGTTCAAGACCTATCTTTAGAAACAAACATATGGGCCCAGTAGACCAAAATGTCCAGATGGTTCCACTTTATTATAAATAAATATTTTCCTTTGTTCCAAAAGGGGTAGATATTGTGGGATGTGATTTGAATGATAAATAGCAACTGTAGTAAGAGAAAAATATGTACCTGGCACAGAGTTGGCACCCAAGGAATACGAGTTGAAGGAATGGGTACTGCAGGTGGGACGAAATGTGTGTGAGGGGCTTTTCATGAATGTTAACGTACAGGCATTTGTCCCAAATCAGAGAGAGCTGTTTCAAACTCGTTGCTGGCTCTTGACCAGCCAAAAATGAGAAGGTAGGAGAAGCCCTTCTGAATATCTTTTGCAGGCCCAGCTTTCTGTATGGGATCAAAAATGGCAGCCCTAACAACACATTGCCAATCCGGTAGACTGTCACTTTAATAGAGCGTTCGTATTTACAGGGAACCCTCGAAAACCTCTGTTCGATAGGAACACAGGTGATTGCTTGATTTTGCCAAGTCCCTTTACCAAGTTTTATGAAGTGTGCAGGAAGGACAACCAGTGGCTCAATTATGGCTCCTTTGTAAAAACCTGAAATGGTTTCTAGATCATAATTTCACATTCAATGGTCCTAGTACCATGGGTGTGTGTGTGTGTGTGTGTGTGTGTATGTTATAGGGAGGGAGAAGTAGACACAGGGTGGAAAGCCAAAACATGAAAACAAGCAGAATTTTGTTTTGGATGACAGCCAAACTCTGATTTTATCCCCAAAAGATTACTCAGAGATTTACCATTAGAAAAGTGAAAACTTTAGGGATAGAAACAATAGGAAACAGATAGAAATCCATGTCTCACACACATTGTCAGAACAATGGTTTGGGAAGGAAACTGGCCCGAGTGTCTCCCAGACAGGGATGGTCCCAGGGGGCCAGTGATGAAGCTGTAATACGCTCATGGCTGTGTGAATTACAACACATTCTGAAAACATTTTTTATTTTTATTTTTTCATTTTTTAAAAGATTTTATTTATTTATTTAACAGGAGAGAGAGAGAGTACAGGCAGGGGGAGCAGCAGAGGGAGAAACAGGTTCCCCGCTGAGCAGGGAGCCCGATGCGGGGCTCCATCCCAGGACCCTGGGATCATGACCTGAGCTGAAGGCAGGCGCTTAACCGACTGAGCCACCCGGGTGCCCCTTTGAAGACATTTTGTAAATTAACTTTTTATTTTGTGATAACTTTAGATTCACAGCCATGAAGGCACTTCGAAGGCTTTTCCTGAACTGTCCTGTTTTCCTGTCTCTGCCAATAAAACCCTTCCATCTTAGACCTTAGGACAAGTAAGGAAGAAATTCCTGGGGAACTTTCTACAATAATGGGGGTTTTCCAACCACCAGAAAAGAAGTGTGTGAGAAGCACCTCAAAAGCCTGAGATAGGGGCACCTGGCTGGTTCAGTTGGAGGAGCTCGTGACTCTTGATCTCTGGGTCGTGATTTTGAGCCCCATGTTGGGTGTAGAGATTACTTAGATAGATAGATAGATAGATAGATAGATAGATAGATAGATAGATAGATAGAGCGATCTTAAAAAAAAAAAAAAAAAGCCTGAGAGAATTATCAGCACTTCAAGTCAGGAAATCAAATAATGCCAAAATATTGAGCAGAATAAAACAAAGCATAGCTACATGGCCATTTCTACCTGACTAGTCTTGACCTGCTCTCTCAAGCAGGCTGTTCACAGCTGGGTTTGAAGATAAGCTCCAGTTTCACTCCAAAGCATTAATGTCTTTTTCTTCCTTGCTGTAAGGTACAAGGTCAGAATGGTCTCTGGTAAGCCTCTTTCGTTCCTTTGTTTAGGGGAACAACTCTAAAAGAGCCATTACCCTCAATCAAAATCACACATCACCACCCCTACCCCCCGGTTGTGAAAACTGTAGTGGCCTTTGCTATCTTTTTTGTTTTTAATATTTTATTTATTTATTTGACAGAGAGAAAGAGAGGGAGAGAGAGAGAGAGCACAAGGAGGGGGAACAGCAGGCGGAGAGGGAGAAGCAGGCTCCCCGCTGAGCAGGGAGCCCGATGCGGAAATCGAACCCAGGACCCTGGGATCATAACCTGAGCTGAAGGCAGACGCTTAATG